ATATATTCGCCTGTCACAAGGCCGTAGAATTCCGCCATCGAAACTCGCAGTGTCCTGAAACGCGATTACTTTAACGTTTTTTTATTTTTTTTTTTTTTTTCGACAGAAAGAGAGACAAAAAACAGCAAAGGGGTTTCTGTTAATTTCACAGGGCGTGACCACACAAACGACGCGCGGCTCGCTCGGTCGAAAGTGCGACATGCGCACGAACACGCACGAATAGATCATGCCGTCGCTATAGTAACCTCGAGAGTCTGAAAGCTCGCACCCCGGCATTCGGCAAATATTTTATTTACGAGTTGTGATATTACGATATATATACCATGAGCATCAATAGGGAAGGTACCTCGAACATCGTGCTCATTTTTATTGAAACTGAGATACTTAAAAATACCGACAAAATTAAGAGATAAAGCAATATGAAGGCTTTAATATGAAGGCTTTATATGCCTGGCCACACATACAGAGAGAGAAAGAAAAAGAAAGAGATTGTATGTACAAGTTTTCTTATTATGTAAAATACAATGTCATTTAGATATTTAGTAGCGGAATATTATTCTACTCTTGTTATTGTCGCAACAAAAAATACAATGAGGCAAAAATATTTGTTAAATGTAAATTTATACAAAGGACTGAACTTGACTGTTGAATACTTCCGTAATTAAGAATGTCGTTAAATGTAATTTGATGATGGAAATACTAATAATATTATCTCTCGGGTTTCTCTCAGTGAGAACTAGTGAGAGGTCAGAAAGAAAACGGGATAATGACGGGAATTCTTCGGGGAATCGCGTGAGACCCTTCATTAAAAAAGAACACAAAATATTCGAGAGAAGGAGACGCGTAATCCTCGTCGACCATTTTCGTGCGAGTAGCGAGGCAGCAAAAGCTAATACAATAGGCGTCAGGACGAATGGCAGCGCGAATACGTACGAGCCAAGACATTGTCGGAAGGAACTCGATGATGCGAAACAAAGAGGAATCCTTTGGATCGCCAAGAGCGACGGCTTGGCACGGTTCCCTATATTGTTTCAATCGATCGTTCGGGCCTTTAAGGGGATGGATACCCGCTTAAGTTTTCGTAAGGAGCCCATTAAAATCCCTCGTGGTTGTGGGAACAGCCCAAATCCCGCCGGAAAGGACGAGCAACATGATGCGGCTGGCTTCGTGAAAGATAAATAAGGGGTATTTTCGTCCTTACGTCATGTATACAGTCAAGTATACGTTATTATTTCATCGTATATATTTGTGTATATTTTATTATGGACATATTTGTATATACATACGTATGTACAAATATGTCCATAACAAAATATATGTGTATACGCACATGTACGTGTTTCTGCACGTACGTCGCGTGTACACATTTTTGGAGAATTGTTTTTTTTTTTCTAATTATGGTCGAAACCTATTAGTGCTTTGACATTTTTGACTGGGAACAAATCGATTCCAATTCGTATCAGTTACAGCATATAGTGTGTCGGCTACCGCTATCCAGTCAGGTTTTAATGACAGGTTCTCTGACAGGTCTAGGGTCGGTCTTCCTTTGACAGAATTCGGCAGAAAGAGAGAAAAAAGAGAGAGAAAGAGAGAGAAAGCTTTAATTACGAGAACGTTTAATATTGGAACGCGTCTGAAAACACTTCAAAAGTGGCCTAATTTATCAGAAATGCCCTTTAAAGATATCTTTTGCGCGTCTTTTGGATTCTCTCTCTTTCTCTCTTTCTTGCGTGTCTAGTCGTAAAGCGACGCACGTTGTTCTTGAATAAATACAAAATAAAATATAAGACGGTTATAATATATAAATAAAAAACTAAATGAAAGATAAAAAACCATTCTAAAGATAACGCGTGTAAAGATATCTCCCGACAGAGATATATACTCTACGTCATACCATATACCGGCACAGAGCCCATATTCGTTCTTTGAACACGGAAACGCCGACGTGATTTTCCGAGATGGACTCGCGGCGTGGAAATCGGCCTCCGTAGTTGCGATCGCAATAATTCATGGACCGCGGTTGCGGCTCGTATAATCCTCCCCTGTCCTCTCTCCACCTTCCTGTATCGATAGGCTCCTTTAGTGAACGGTATCAGGGCACAATCGACGGCCAGCTCGTAAATTTATTATGGCGAATCCCAGCGCCCGCATGCGTAACACGTCGAAACTCGTGGCTTTCAACTTTAAGACACGATAACCGGTAATTGGCTCACCTCGTTAATCCGTTTATGAATTCGACCGGCTGCCAGTGACAACGAGGGGATTTCGCCGAATATCGGCATGCCGGTGACGTTTTGCAAATGAACAGTCATGGTCTTGTTATTCTTACATTGTATTCCGTTGGATCTGTGCGTGACAGACGATTTACTCGCAGGGACGAAATTTTTATGGTCTCAGATTTTTTACGCTCGTACAGATGCGCGTATCGCTGATATTGATCACTTTAAATGTCAGCATTCTATCTTCCAAGTGTTATGCGAGAATTCTATAAAAGTATATCCAGGAAAAAATTTCGACATTAAATAAAATGAAAATTTGATGAAATAATGAAACTATAAATTTGATGAAATTTCCCGCTCCGTGTATAATAAAAAGAAATATTTAATAAAAGAAATATTTTTTTCACATAACTTTCATGGGGAATGTATTAAATATTTAATTTCTATAACAGAGAATTCTGTCTTAATATTTCGAAAGTATTTTCGCAATTTGTTATAATAAGATTTTTATTACTTCACGACTCTTCCTAAATCCTAATAAAATCTTTCATGGTCAAATATTACGCTATTTGCGAAATTTATTATCTTTGAGATTTAGAAAAGAAACCTCACGGGAGAGAGCGACGGGGAGAGAGGTAACTGATGTTCGGATTGGCTCTTTTCGTTCTTACGCGTCTTTAATCCCTTTCCAGATTACATGGTGGAAAAGGGCTTCGCCCGGCCAGCGCACTTGTTGTCGTCGTTCTTCCGGAAAGCAGCGCGTTATTGCCATCCACAATTCACCTGGCCGAAAATCTCTTAAGCCGCTCTCACACGCGCACCGAATATACTATGTACACGTACAAAAAAAGTTGTCAAAACTATCCCCTCGAGTACAGAAACAGCGAAGAACACGCTAATCAAAATAATGACTACTTCGATATCGCGGTGTCTACAAGTCTTTCATTGCACAAACAGTGTCGAAAGTATCATAAAACGCTTTTCTTCTTCACGTCACACTCATTCAGCACGTTACGAGTTAAATTCCCGATTAAGAGAATGTGGGAGTGTCGTGAGAAGTCGAGGGGTATAGGTAAAAAAAGAGTAATGTGTCGTACATGTAGGCAGTTCGCTAATATTGAGTTACAGATGTTGTTTTAGTTGACTTCATGTTACGCATGTATACATATATACACACGTAGCGTACATACATGCGTATTCAGTTCATTCATATATAGTCGGACAGTGCTAACGGATTATCTAAACAACTACGTGTATTATCTTTCTTTACCAGATATACGCCAGCATATGTGCAGCCAAATCGTAGTTTTCAAATTCTTTTTATCAAATTTTTCAAATTGTATTCTGCCGGTCTAGTGGTGTCTTCACAGATCGCCTGCATAGCGCTCAACTTTTATTTTACGTATATAAATTTTTAATTTTCACATCAAGCGAAAATAAAAGGTAAAGTCAGCTATCATATAAAATGACACTTGCAAAAAATTTTTCCTACATTTCGTATAACACAAACTGCAGCACCATGTATTAACATATGTACATTCACAGAATTTGCAATTCCGCGAAGCTGAATAGGAAAAATTTGCAAACTACAAGAGCTGGTAACAATCACGGCTTATTCCTTTGAGAGTGAAGTTGACTGAATTAAGGTCTTCGTGTTATTTAAGCTGAACGAACTGCTGAACGAACGAAATCACCAAAAGTCGCTCGAGTCTGCGTCTAACTTAAATCGCTAAAAATAACACGGTCGGTGAAACTCAAATCTGTGAGCGGCGATCGACGACGACACTCCGCGGGAATCAACCTTCGTAAATTTCAGGCGTCACGAAATTACAGTAAACCCGAGCAGATAAAATCGCAAGTGAATTTACAGCGTACGATAAAGCGCGCGCCATGTTTTACGGCGAAATTTTTAACGCGATCGTTAAGATTAGCGGATCGTTGGAGACTCCTCGATTCCGTTTCGTGAGATACTTTGTTTCGCGAATCGCCAATATTTCCGCTCGTTGTCGGTGTCGGGTTCACTGCTCATTACTTTGTGTAATGAACTTCGTAGATTCGATAACCTGTGTATCAATACTTCGTTCAACGCCATTTCCCAACACGATATTTGTTCAACGTAAGGGCTCAAGGAATGAATGCGAGATTCGAGAGGTCGTAAAAATCACAGCAATTTCTCGAGTTTCTCCACAGAACATAAACTTGACAGACAGGTAGGAGGGCGGAAGGGGCAGGCAATTTTATTTTTTCTTCCCCTTTTTTGAAGCACAGTGTCCTCTACGTTGGCGCTTTTTACGAGCGCTGAAAACGGTTAGCGCCTTTTCTAGCCGTGTCGTGAATTTCAAGCTGTTAGCAAAAGCGCTGTGCTTGACTTTTTACGATAGGACAATAAAGAACTCTTTACAAAGGCGCGTGAATATTTCATTTGTCCAAGGGACGTGGACAATTAACGCGTGGCAACAACAGACTTTGTTGCATCTGCCTTTAATTACTTCGTTTTGACATTAAAATTCACCGTTGTATTGTCGAATACTCGATTATTCATTGTCCGAGACGTGTAAATGCTTAAAAATAATCACCGTTTGTTTCGATCATATTTTTGCCGTTCGTGAGAAATAGCTATAATTTTCCGAGGCACGCGCCACACCTACACTTAAACACCTACATATCTGGTATATTATTTCCCCGAAAATGGAACTTTACACTATTATGACGAAATGTTATCGTATAAATCGGTATAATTCCATAGATGGAGAAGATAACAAGAACTATATTCTGTTTCAGGCCTCGTTTTGGTCGACAGCACTGAAAACCCTGATCTCTGTGTCTACTGTGATACTGCTTGGCCTCATATTTGCTTACCATGCCTTAGAAGTTCAGGTACGTACAGCTCAAAATATGCATACAACAAATGTACATTTAAATAAATGTAGAATTATTCGAGGCAGCGCGATGACAGTCTAATAACAGATCCAACAAGATACAAAGATCACAGACTGATTACTCACAGAAAATAAGAAAATTATTTTAATAATTTAAGCCTTTCGTTCGCACGATTACTGCAGTTTTATCATTTTCGCGTAAAAATATTTACCCCCGAGAAATATTCTAGGTTCTAAATATCTCTTAGTTACACTGAGAGAAAAATATAGTTGCTTTTGGCGTCAACTATATTCTTTTGTGATTTTAATTATAAAAATAGGAAAATCATTATTTTAGTAAGTGTTATTAGAAAGATGGTTCTTCTAATTACTTTTCTGGTTAAAATCACAAAAAAATATAGTTGACGCCAAAAGCAACTATATTTTTCTTTCAGTGTATGGAAACGTGTAGATTGTCATTACTATTGTTATTCCTGTCGTAGTATGCAAATAAATTATTATTACAAATAATGCATGCTAATGCTACCACAAATATCATTGCAATCATGATTATTCGCTCATTATAAATTATTAGCGTAAGTTATTATTGTAATAATATAATATGAAAATCATAAGCCAATATCTCCATGTAGCCTGTGAAACACACATGCTCTCATGAGAAAGAGAGAGAGGGAATGAGAGAATTAACACCATAAATAAAAAGAATGTGTGAAATTGAGAAATATAGTTTATAGAGGCGAGTCGCCGTTACGTTTTGCTGTATGTATCGTTCCGAGTAGGCCAAGCGCGACATTACGCCTCAGTGATCGCGGGAATTTAACTGCCGTCTATTGTATCCGTCCGTCAAAATCGCGGGAAACCGACGCCAAGCTAATCGAAATGGTATCGCGAGCGTGGACAATTTCGCCGGGGCTGTGCGAGCTCGGGACTATTAATGCACCGCTAATAAAAGGCCAATTACGGTGCGCGCGTGATCAAATTTTATCTGCGATTACTCACGCACAATGTGCCGTCATCGACTTCCAGGATATTTATGTCGAGCTACATGCACATATATTCACACACACACATATTAGAAGTTCCCATAAATAATCAAGTATTTACGACACTCTTCTTCTACTTCCGCTATATATAAGCAATATTTTCTTAATGTACTATTTGGATATTTAATTTATATCGTTAATTAGAAGTCTATAGACAAGGTTTTACTTGACAGGTTGATACTAAACACATAATATATAGATGTATATTAAAAATTCCTATGAGAGTAATGAAGAATTGATGAAACTGTTATTTCTGTCAATTTCTTCTTGCCACGTGATATATGAGCAGTATTTTCTTAGTGTCTGCTATTCGAGCGAAATATCCAATTTATACCATTGATTAAATGTCTATAGATAAAGCTTGGTTTATTGATATTAAAGCTTTGTGTGTGTCTGACGTAATGTATAATTTAATTGAAAATAAAAGCTCCGTCTTTTAAGTGTGTTTCACTTTGAAATACTTGATTATTTGTGGGTACTCGTAATATCTCAAGCGTCCGGAAAAATTATCGGGAAGTTCTCAACTTAAGCGCGCGGATTATAAGCCCGATGGTCTTACGCGATAATGTCGTCCGGAAAAGAGAGACAAGAAGCACGAGGCAGCGGAGAGAAGTCTCCGGCGGCTTTCAGTTCGCTTCCGGCCAGGCCGGAACTCGTCTTAATAAGATACCAATGGTCGGCAGTAAAGCGAGCTTCGCGAAGCTCCGTAAAGCACGGAGTGGTCTGATTATTTAAGCGCCAACTCAAATATTGACGCTATGGCCATCTTTCAAGTCTCGACGTCGGAGACTTTTATATGTACGGGCTGATTCGCAAAGATACGCTGTGTAACTTCTGTATCCGATTCTACCCGTTCGACTTTCATCGGGCGGATTCGCATGAACGTGAATCGGGCATTGTGTACGACGACGGAATCTGAGACATTTATATCCCAAAAGCAAAGCCGGAAAGTATGACGTCTTAAAGGAGTTTGCCGAAGATTTCCGATGAATTCGCGATTTCCCTTCGACACCTCGTGACTTCTGACCCAAGTTTCCAAATTTTCGGTAAACATATCTTCTCAAACGCTCGTTGTCTCAACCGCCAGATCAGATCAGGTTCTGTCTTGAGTGTTTCCGTTCCGATGGAAACAGGTCGGTAGAAGCCGATCATGAAGTGAAAAGGGAGAAAGACGGTAGCTGCCAATGTCCTTCGCATATCCCGAAGCGAATAATCCCGACTCAATGTGCCGGAAAAACGTTCTCGTCAAGCTCGCAGTCGTCGCGCGATGCAATTCCGACGCGATATATATCGAGGCCCCAATATTGCCGCACCCTCGCAACGCGCGACAACGAAAATCGACGCGGCGGCGTCGATCTGCAATAGAAGCAAGTCCTGCTCGTCTATTTCCTGGGTAGAAAAAAAATTGTTTAGAGACTTTGGCTTTAATGGAACTTTCGGTACGCCTTTTATGCGAATTTATTAAAAACGCTTTTTCTTCGCAATATAGCAAGTCCTCCGTGAAATGATCTATATACATAGATTGCAAACTCCGGGCTTATTTCAATGAAAGTCAGTTAAGTCATCGAGTTAGATTATCAAGTCATCACATACTTTAATAACAAATTTTGAAACGAGTTTACAGTTAATTATTCATTGAGAAGACACGTTGAAGGCTGGCCATTATCCGCTAGCAATTTTGATTAACGAGTATTTCGGGGCGGAATCTTGAATTAAGTCACTGACACGTAAGACTTGCATGATTAAAGCGCACGATAAGGGTATGCATGTTATCTATCATCTCGAGTGTGTTCGCAGTCTGTTATATAATATCAGCCCAAAAGTCGAAGCTGTGAAAGGTTCCTCGTTTTTTCCCTCACTTTTAATGGAGAAACCATCGATGTCGATGATTGGATATATTGCCAAGTGTATGACGATGACCATTCCGGCTACTCCAAGTTGGCTTGCGCAATTTTGCGGCAACAACAGGCTGGCTTGGAGCCTAATGGCCCGTTGACCTTTCAGCACCTGTTGATTGTCGTTTATCAACGATTTGCATACGCAGATTTGCTAGGATTCACCTGGCGCTGCGAAGTAAAGCAGTTTCCCTTGGGAGACGTCGTCCGCCTGATCGATGTCGCTCACACGGCCTTCCGATCGCTTTTCCTCTCTCCTCTTTGCCTCTTATTCGATACAACTAACACCTCGTCAACCTATTCGTATTTCTGTAATAAAGTTATTATGGCTTTTCCTGACTGATGAGACCTCCAGCATCGTGCACACCCTTCATGTCCCAGATATGAATGATGAATCGATTTCACGTAACTCATCCTCCCCAAATCTCTAATTTACGAGTGACGGTCGCAGAGTTTTCAACGGGTTCTCAAAGATACGAATGATGTGACAAATTGTCGGTACACGCGGATGACAGCAAAGAAAAAAAAAGCAAATCGCACCTAAAGAACCGTTATAAATTCAACGTACGTTATCGGATTTGAGAAAAGTTGTTGAAGTGCGTCATTAATATCCCGTACCTTCGACAGTACAAATCTGTGGTAGCTTCTCGTTTTAACGGGTGCTAGAGGGAATCGTGAATGCATGATATCGTAGTTCCTAGATTGCTATAAAGGTCAGAAGTTACGATATGTGTCATCGTGGTATCTCGAATCCGCACGCAGTTTGAATTTGCGTGCGTCATCGATACAAGATCGATGTCTTACCTTCAGTTCCTTAAATACGTATAGCGCGCGTCCTGCGGCGTTTTTGCCGCGATCGATCCCTGATATCGTACATTCTTCCTCTCACGGTGTCCCAGTACGGTGTAGCCTTCTATCTTCTCGTTATACGAATCCTCATGTTTCCGGGATTATTCTTCCAGATAAATGGACTTCTGCTTGCATTATGCTAATCTATGCAGACCGCCGGCGGGTCGCGTCTCTCGTACCAGGTGAAAAATACGAGCTGCAAAGTATCGGCGATGTATCAGGTGTGAGATATCGCCAAGATGTAAAAGGTCTTGCGCACTATGATAGATGTGTCCTATTCAGCCCCTCGGATCCTCGACAATGAGACAACTTCATTGTTGAAACATGGTCTCCAGAGCGAAATTTAAAATCGCTAAAATCCGACCCGTATTCAAAACTTGCACCACCTTGCAGTGTGGCGTGTTATATCGCAAGTTTCAATAATTCCCTGAAGCTTCCCTAATACCTTTCTAGCGAGAACTCGCGATATCGATCCATGCATGGAGAATTAGCGGTTTGATATTCCGTGGGATCGTCGATTTCTCTGATATCGGAAATCCTGAGTTTACTGAAGATTTGCAAAATCAACGACGCTGGGGAATTCGGGATCTGCGAAGTCAAACAGTACGTGGAAATTGAGATTCACGAAGCGGAGAACAAAAACAACAAAGGAGCCACACTGTCGGGTATGCATTGGAGATATGTAATATCAAAAATCTCTCCCCCACAACGTTGACGCAACGTAAATTACACGCTCCAAAGTACGTGTTACAGTGTGTGAGACCCTTTAGCGTGAGATGTTTTAGGTCCGGAAGGATCGTCACAGTGTTAAGGATGATTTGTCGCCGGCGTGGCGACAACAGCAGCGTACGGTTACAACGGCGCGGTTCTCTCACGCATAACAGACGACGATAAACAACGAATACGTGTTGCGCCGTTTTAATCAAGTTATGGCAAAACGGCTGGAATTTATATTAATCAGGGAGCTCAAAGTGTGAACTTTCATATCGGCATACGTGAGCTCATTTGTCCCGATTGAGTAATTAGCAATATCAAGCGGAATCGATACATGCCGGCATACCTAAAAATTGCTTTGAACACGTTCTGCATATAATACGATAGCCCGGCATGATTAATTTACTCGTTTATTTACTCGTCCAGCAATCGTGCGAAATGGTCATGCATAAAGAGATATTGTGATGATATTCATATTCGATGAGAATCTGAGCGTTTAATAATATTCCTCCCAATTAGCTCTTGACATACTGCACATATTAATCCCCGTGAGGTATATTGACGAAAAAGATTGATCGGAATATTCAATAAAAGAGATTGAAAAATCTAAAAGATACAAAAATTCATCCAAAGCTTCGAAAAGTGTTCCTTGATTTTGAACCAATTCATTCAATGTTATTTTAATAACTTGAGTATTTTTTGAATATTAATCAAATATACAAGAATTTTAATACATATTTTTACCGTTTAGTTTTTCTTTTGATGCGATCGTGCAAGTGTAATATTTCTGTTTATTTAATGATAACTCTGTGTGTAACATACACACACACACACACATGCATATTGTGTAACATCATGGTGATCAAAAATCCGTGGAAAAATGTCACGAGCACAGATGACGTTAGAAAGTATGTTCTCGATTTCCCTTGATAAGTATCTGCCAATTTTTGTATTCTGGCCTGACAGTTGTTCATGATCGATAACTGCGCGGACGACTGGCGGATCGCGATGACCTGGCAGCGGATCGCGCAGATCTCGTTAGAGCTGGTGATTTGCGCGATCCACCCGATTCCGGGCGAGTATTACTTCCTGTGGACGACCAAGCTGGCGAACAAAAACGGCGACATCGGCTCCAAGTGGGTGCCGTACGACGTGACTCTCTCGCTGCCGATGTTCCTCAGGCTCTACCTCATCTGCCGGGTGATGTTGCTGCATTCGAAGCTCTTCACGGACGCGTCGTCGCGCAGTATAGGGGCCTTGAATCGCATCAACTTCAACACCAGGTTCGTCCTCAAGACCCTGATGACCATCTGCCCCGGCACGGTGCTTTTGGTGTTCATGGTCTCCCTGTGGATCATCGCCTCGTGGACGTTACGACAGTGTGAGAGGTAAAAGTTCAACTTGACATCTCGTGATTGTAGACGGAGAGGTTGCAGCTTAACAATTTGATTCAACATCTCAATTTTTCAAGCATTTCACAATTAAATATTACATTAGATTATGTTATCTAGAGCTCCAGAACCTTTTTAGATATCCAACATCTAATAACCGCGTTGGAACAATCATTTTTCTTTCATTTCTTCAGTCATTTTTCTTTATGCTTCTGACGTGTGTGCAAGTGCTGAAAGCATGTCAGATTATATTCCGCCTCAAGACGATTTCGCGGATCTCTCTCCCTCTCTTTCTCCCTTATATTTTTCTGCTGAAGAAGAGCAAGAGCAATTGTTCCATTTCGCAAATCTGAGGCGTTATCTGAGGCAAGGGAGGGTAAAGCAGTGACACGCGCATTTCGGAATCATACACAGTTCAATGGACACGACTCATTTGCGTGCGTTTCAACGATGATTGATCTACGACGTAATGGTACGTCCATCCGTCGTGCGATCGCGCCGTAATCATAAATCTCAGCGTCCTCGCCGGTGGGACAGGTCCGATTGAGGTCGCCGTTGGCGAATCGCACGGGATTTAGTGGATTCTGGAGCCAATAATTAAATTCCCCCGTAAATAGTCGCGCCGATTTCGGGAATAATCAATCTTGCCTAGGTAATATCGCAAGGCGCTGCTCGGAGGATTCCATCAGAGCCAGGTAGCTCTGGATGAAGGAGAGAATCCTTCTCCTACCCGCCGCCTCAATAAAACTTCCGGTTCTCCTTAATGGATGAGCTCTCCCACCCACGTCCTTAACAAAAATATTTATCACTCGGGTAATGTTCATCTCTCTCTCTAGCTTCAGCATCCTGCGGAAGTCCTTGATGAGCGCCCGCGAGCGGTCCTTAGCCGTGGGAATAGCGACTGTTTCATTGTTATCCAAAGGACGATCATTGAAAGCGGCTTTCGTGTTTGATATATTTCGCGCGGTCCTATCTTCTGCTTCCAATATAGAGTAGATTATGATAATGTTCTCGATAATGTTGCGGGTAATTCAGCTTTCCGACATATTTTCACGGACGTTACATGAATGCCGCGAATGCTGACGTCTCTCGTGAAGGATTCCGTTTAACAAGCGGTATTTGTTCATCGAAAGACGTTTCAAACATTTAACACCGTATGATTTCGGTATTGATTTTTAATTCGATCAAGTAAATGTTACGCGCATACGCGCAACATTTAGAATATCAATATTTATGGCACAAACTCTTTTATCGCGAGCGTTTCGCGAGTCAAAGCAACGTTGAATTTCGTCATAGAAAAATATTTAGCGCCGCTATTTCTTGATCGATACTCTTAATCGTCTCGAATGAACTCTAAATATCATATCGTCCGTAAATTGTGCCGTGATAAACCGCCATTATCCGTAGACACCTCTGCTGTCATTAATCTCGTCTGGTCTCTGGTGTGAAACACTTCATCGAGTATCCTTTTTCCTCTAAATTTATTTCGCAAAATAAATCACCGCGTACAAACACGTCGTATTACACAACAAGAATGTGCGATAGCGTCGCGTTATTTAATAACGCGCAAAGTCAGCGGTTTTTGCGGTTGTGTTCGAATTTCGCCATTTTTCCGAATTAACAAATCAATTCGATAATTTGAATCTCACACGCCTGTAAACGACGACCAAGCCCGAGGCCAGTTTTACGCACGGATTATCGGACCTCGAATTATCGCGAAATTTAAACGATATTTTATTCATCCAATATACGTCCGCATGCGGCAGCGTGAATTTCCACGACAATAACGCGATTTTCGCGGAACACAGTCGACGATCAATCATGCAATCAACGTTGCTACGAGAATAATTCGTTCCACGGGAGTGCTACCGGACGGAACGTTCGTTATGTCAGGTGTGGATGATCAATTTCGTAGAAGAGATAAGTAAAAGAGATGAGCGAAGAGTGAGAGAAAGACTGTCGCATTTGTTACACAGTTAATTTCGTCGAAGTGACTCTCTCGCCCCATTTCTCGTCTTCGCCATTTCGAAGAACTGATATTATCATTGTTTGAATTGTGTGAAACCAACTCTTGCATTAATCTCTATATATTTTTTTATGTTTTCACGGGGAGGAAGCGTTAGTGAACACATCAAGCTCCTAATATCGGCGATTTAGTGCTTTAAGTGCGATTCAGTTAACGGCTACGATTCGTACGAGCGAAGCGATAACCGACCAGCTGGGGTCGACTCGCAGATATCGCCCGGGGTCCGGAACTTTTGATGGACCGTAAAAGATTCCGCGCTAAGGCGGAAACATGTAACATCGGCCTGGCTCGTTAAAACACTTTATGATGCGGATTAGAGTCAGTGTGCCGTCCACCTCATCCCAGCCTTCTTCACGCCCAATAATGAATCTCGCGGGAAGCATAATGCTATCTTTCGCCCTATAACTTACCGTACTCGCACCATTGTTCGCTTATCCCCCGGGCGAAGGGATAAATACTGGCCGTGGCGAAATGAACATATCAAACTATGAAAGAAAGTCGCGACTGCTGAAATGTCCCTTTCCGGGAAGCAGTGCGCCCGCCTCCTCTTATAGAGAAGGTCGGAAGATTATGTAAAATAATTGTTTATCATATTTTAATCACCAGCAAAAATAATTACCTTTATAAATATGCTGTTCAAGTATAAATTAAAGAAATCTGAATACATTGGAAGATTAATATGATAATTTCCAGATTATATCCATATTATCTCCAAATAATCTCATTACTTTTCTAGTAATAGTAATAGAATTAAAGAGATTTTGTTAATGTCAATTTTTTTTCAAAAAATTTTTTTCAAAACAATATCAACCATTCTTATTTTGAAATAAAACTAACACCAAAATTTTTAATTTGTATGTCTGCAGGAATTCAAATTTTTTAGGTATTCTAGGCCTGTAGTAAAAGTTGTCACCTGGAACTTGTCTCATAAGAAATGCTCACATTTTTATTCAGAATCAGATCCAAATTTTTCAGTTGAATTATATCATATGTGTAATCGCGCGCGTTTCAACTGAAGATTTTTCATCTAACTTTGAATTCAAATCTGAACATTTTACTTGAGACGAGTGAAAACCAGAGACCTCAAAAAGCTAACGAAAAACTTGCCGAGATTAAAAGAGGAAAAAAAAATGACATAAATCTGAAAGCAAATTTGAAGAAAAATGTATCCATATACGTGCGCTTTGTTCGTAATCCAATCTTCGCTTTGGCATGACAGGTACCATGATGAAGAACACGCAAATCTCCTCAACGCCATGTGGCTCATCGCCATCACGTTCCTGAGCGTCGGTTTCGGCGACATCGTGCCCAACACATACTGCGGTCGAGGTATTGCCGTCTCCACCGGAATGATGGTAAGGGCAGAACGTAAATTGGCACGAAGTCGCGGAAATTCTCGCCGCCTCGCAAATTACTTCGTATCATCCGGGGAAATCGTAGTGGCTTATCTTCTGCTCTCACTTCTCGCTGCCAGCACTGATCATTACCCTGACCAAAATCAACGAAAGTTGTCGGGAGAGTTGCGCCGGATTACATCGCAACAGCAATCACGTAGATCGTTAATCTTTGCCGAAGTCATCGCGAACTATGAAGCTTGTTGTACACGCTCTACCGCTGTATCCAGCTCTGGTGCAGGGCCGAAGCAAACATGTAACTTGGTATAACTCGCGTTAAACGGCGCGGCGGGCTAGCCTGCGAGGTTCATTACGACCGCAGCGCGCATTGGGACCATAATGAGCGGCTGATCGTCGCGATCGATCGACTCGTTGCTCGACCGTTACAAATCACTCCCGTGCTGTGATTTACACTGTTACATTCAGCCGCTTTCGCCACAGTCATTACACAGTCCACTTGTAATTAAAGGCAACAGAGGACACAGCAAATGTTATGTCCATTCTCGCGCCCCTCGGGAACGTCCCGAGGTCGTTCCTTATTGTTATAACACCCCGTCCTACCCCGTCCACCTCGTCTTCCGTGTCCGTTCGTACAATTTCTAGCTATTCCCGCGTTAACCCGTTAGATTTGTAACTATTACTAAGCTTTAACCGGCACGGCTAGTTCCAGCGTTGCGGGCTAATTCCTCGTAAACTTCCGCCGCCAGAGCACGGCTGTTGTTTCCGGAAGTCCAGTTCCGATCACAATTCACAATACGTTTCGGAGTCTCATCTCTCCCTCTATCCCCTCCCTTGCTTACCAGTCCCTTTCATTTACGAGATTCCCCCCCCCC